TTTGTTTTGCGCTGAAAGTAATTGATGTAGTCTGGACGATTTTGTGGCGCAGACGCTTTGAAATTCGACTGATATTTGTATTGTGGCGGTGGTACTGAGTGGTGCTTGTAATTAGGTGTGGTGAAGCTGTACTTCTTGCCAGGCGGTATATTATTTATACTAGGATCGATATAGGAGCCATGATTGCGTTGATGCAGAGGCGCTGATGCAATAAATTCATTGCGCAGCCCACCACCGTTATTCACAGCATTCTGAGCTATATTTGCAATGGATTGTTTTGTTGGAATGTAATTGTCTGCGCTTTTATAACTATTTATATGGACACCATATATCGGCTGATACTCGGAATTTTGATCCAATACAAGCGCTTTCCATTCATTCTCCTGATTACTGTACGAATCTGTTACAGGATGTGGCACTTTCTTGAAATTTTGCTTTTGATAATACTCATCACGTGCGGTCTGCAGCCGTTCACGCATACCCGGTTCCAGTTCCATTGGCACTTGCTTTATGCGCGCATGCGGTTTGAACTCAATGAGGCTGGGAATTTTCGGGTGGGCGTGAGTGAGATCTTCAATTGGATTTTTGAGCGGTTTAATGTCTGAGCTCAGCACTATGTGCTCCTGGTCTTTGCTGTAGTGATTGATTTTGGATTGCGATGTGTCGTCGTTGATGCCATTTTCACTGTGCGGCGATTCGGTGACGGGATGTGAATTGGCGCCGACGGTCTTCACCACAGCATTGAAGCCATGCTTAGCATCGGCAGTGTAGTGAACTGTACGTATCGAGCCATCTGGCTCGAGAATGCTATAGTGTCCCTTTATAGTATCGCCGTCGCGTGACTCCCACTGGGATTTGACATCTCCCGTGTGCAGATCTTTGACGCCATAACTGAAAGCATATTCTGGATGTTGCTGAAAAAAATAAAAGAAAATAAAGAATTAGCAAGCTGCTGTAAAAATATAGAGTGTAGTTGTAGTACAGCTTGAAAAGTGGGGGACACTTTTTACAGTTAAAGTAACTAGGCTAAATCTGCTGGGAAGTGGTTTAGAAGGCACCCGCCGAAATGCAAGCTTGTCGTAAAAGGCCGAAGGGACCGCATACTGAAGGGAAGTGGTCTTGCCTCTTCACTCTTCTTCAGAGCCGTAGCCACTTATAATAGGTATGAGTTGGGAAGCAGTTATTTGTCATCGACCCTTTAGTGATTTACCAGATGAGAAGTTAAAGGAGTCGGAAGCAGGCGGCGAAATTTCTGCAGCATTTCCAAAGTGACCATAGTTTCCAGAGGTCACATCCACGGAACCTAGTGGCCCCTTTTGGTATGCAGAAGCACCGAAATCGACTTGTGGGAGCTGCAAGGGAAGGATTCTGGTGGCTTTGTCACTTATTACCTCTCACAATTTTCGCTTGTCCTGTTTTCTGGTAGAATAAGGTGCTTTAGAAGGTCAGGATTGATTCCTCGAAGAACGCTGCTGCGCTATTTATACTTAAGTCCAATAGCTAGGCTGGGAGAAGTCCTTCTAAGACTCAGAACATTAAGCTGGGCTTAATCAAAACCCAGAATGGCTTATTCACCGGTACAAAAAGTGAGACTCCATCTTTCTCCGAGATTCGAAATAAATGAGAAAGGCGATCAGTTGATCCAGAGAGGACCTGAGCCATTGCTTGCGGTAGGCGAAGCTTAGAATTAGTATAGGTTTATTTTTCCCGGGTCGTTGTAGGTTAAGAGGCCACTTGCACAAGCTAGGGTTTTTGTCAAGCTATCTCTTCTAGTCTTTAGGGCTAGATGTAGTGTTGTGGTGAGGTGAGGGCACAATAGACCTACTGATCGCAGTGCATACTAAAGTTATCTATCCCTGAAAATCAGGTAGGGGTTACACATTCATAAAAGAGGGAGTAGGGAGAAAATTGGGCGGAAAGGCTTAGTAGCAGCAGGCAGGGGATCATTAGGACTCAGGTCAATATATGACACGCGGAGTTCACCGAGACTGCGCCCACCTGATAATGAGACTTTTGACCATTTGGCTAGAAAGAGTTCAGACCGGGTATTCAGCAACTAATATAATACCCACACTTTCGGCCATAGAAACCGAAAGAAGAAATTACTGTACGTCTAGAAGAGTATGCCGGTTATCGGCGATCTCAGTCTAGCTAAGTATTTGCTTTCTTTGAGCAGGATTAGCTATGAGACTGTTGGCAGCGTTTTGCTGAGAGACGTAAAACTGAGCTATCTTAAATCCAATAATCTGATTCGATTTACTTGTAAATGGTGTAAATTTATAAGAGTGACACTTTTATACTTTTTAGCGGACTTCAGTCTTTTTTTTGTATTTTTTATGTCCGTACGTAAGTGCATAGTAACCTGCTGTCATATTTTCTCATTATTAATTTTATTTGGACATGTGGGCTTGTCAGTTGTCTCGGAGTTTTGTCTAGTTTAGTTGGCAGATAAAATCATAAATCATTTTACGCTCACAGTGGGCATGATTTATGAAAGATTGACATTCCAGAGTTACTGTCACTGAATTTTGACAACAGTACTACCTTTGAGTGCGTAACCCGCTTATGACAGATGACAAAGACTAATTCAAATTTTAACAAATGCTGGCATATTTGAATATGTTCTTCGCTTATGATGCATGCTACTGAATCTCAAAGCAAAAAAAAATGCACTTCAGCATCGTTTGACGTTTTGAAGAGACTTGCAAAACTTAGAGTAAAATAAAATAATATAATTTATATGTATACAAAAAAAATTTTCATTAGTCAAATTAAACTTTTAAGTAAGAAAATTGAATGATTATTAATTAATTATTTAAACTCACATATTCTGGCGCATATTTCATCATTTCACTGTCTGTTTCATCAATATCGGCTTCAGTGTCAGAATCTCCGTTAATCATGCATAGAAAACTTAACAATGGCATCAGAGTTATCCATATCGTGTGAGGCTAAATAAATGATATAAATAAAATAAATATTATTTTAAAACTCCGCAATTAGTAGTTTCAATTCGCTGTAGTTGTAAAGCCAGTGTCACACGATTGCCCAAAATTTGGTGCAAATCGTATCCCAATCGTGTGAACGCACAAATATTTTTTTTTTTATCCCAATCACGAAAAATAATTTGTTTAAGTGGTTAAAAATTCGGGTTGATTTTTGATATTTTTTTTTTGCTGACGATGTCACGCATTTTCTTCCATACAAAGTATGTTCGGCCATTTTTTTGTATGGGAGAAAATAATAACAGCAGCGGCACCAAAAATCAACCCGAATTCTTAAACACTTAAAACTAGCATTTTGTCAAAAATATTTACAACCTAGGTTTTTCTAATTGGCTTTGAGAACTATTTCTAAATTTGCATATTTATTCGAAATTATCAGTGAAAAAAAAAATGAATGGGTGCATCAGGCGTCTTCGTAATTTTATGATTTCACCTTAAATTGGGTAAACATATAGGAAGTGTCGGAACATACATATGTATTTGACAAGAATATTTAGAAAGAGCCCTATGCTACAATATATTTATCAAAAACAATTGAAAACACAAGGATATATTCGGAATGAGCGGACAAAAAATTACCTAAATAAAAGTAATCGCCTTCTTTCCTTGATTAAAAAATTATTTTTTTGTTAATTTTGTTCCTGTCTTCTAAATGTCTTACTGCGTGTTAAGTTATTATGCTTTCACAAGATAGGATTATTTGCTCAGTGCATCGGCACCGCAGTATATGTAGTAGACCTGCAGAAAATGGGACTAGTTTGTAGCTAACTATTAACTAACTAGCAGTCGACTAGTGGTAACTATTTATTAACTATTTCCTTTGGCCGTAACTAACTACTTTCGAAGGGCAATGGCCACAAAATAGATGTCAACTAACTTGTAGCTAACTACTGTTGGACATAAACTATCAATAAAAAACAAATTATATTTTTATTTATTTACTTATTTTATTTACCATTACAAATTTGCTTATTTGATTACATGTTCCTTTGTAGGTGGTCTCTTATTTGAAGTCGATAAGACATAACATCAAAACGATAATATAAAATTACGAACTTTTTTTATTTGTCCTGAATACGAAAAAAAATCTGCGAAGTGCAGAAAAAAGTGTAATGAAAGTAATTTTTGTTTGGGGATAGAAACTTGTAAAAGAAAACAATCTCCCTATAACGTCTGTATTACTCCTGCACGACTTTACAACTAACTTTAAGTAAGTTTTTTCATAGCTAATTAAAGGTCTGTTGTTTATGGAGATCCCGCAAAAAAACAAATAGAAGTTGGTTATTTTAATCAATTGATTTTTTTTTTCTGTAAGTAATTTCGCATGGAATTTCCTCAAAAAAAGTTAATTTTGAAAAAATTTACTTGGTATTTTTGAAACAACTTTCTAAACGAAAAACTGGGAATTGACAGCTTTTTCTTAAAAGTTACTATTAACTAGATTTGTTTACTTCTCTAGCGGTATTTGGATCGATGGGGACTTTTGATATATGTATTGATTAGAACCACAAAAGAAAAGTCCATGCATAAATCAAATTTTCCCCTAATTATTCCGAAGTGAAATGCTTGTAAAATTAATATTTCTAAAATATATTCATAAATGTCTTTTTAATCGGAATTTTTTATCCGTTTTAAACTTGCACTCAATTCGACCAAAATAGTATGGTAGTACCCAAAAATGTTTTAAATATTCAGATTGAAAAGTTGAAATTTTGAAGAAAATTTGTTAAATTTTTCTAAACGTGAACTTGTTGAATATTCCTAAGATTAATAATAGCAAAGAATAAAAATAGCAAAAATATTTAACTCGAAAAACATTATGAATATTAAAAAAAATTTAACACATGGTCACTTGTTTGGGTCAGTGTATTTTTTAGTGGTTTGATTTTGAATCTTATTGTTTACCATTTACCACCAAATCAATTAAATAAGTGTTAAATGGTTATATGTAAATGCATATACATACATACCTTTCATATCTTTTCTTATTTTATGTATTTAAAGTTAGAATTTTGTTATTGTTTTTTTCTTCTAATAAATCGAAGTTACAAAATAAAAAAGAATTAAGGATAAATCCAAAAAAAAATTCATCAAAATTTTGAACTTTTTAAACTGTATTTTTAGGAGATTTTCGGGTATGCAGTGAAATTTTAGTAATGATGTGCAAGTTTATTTTTTTTAATTTTTAATTTTTAAATTTTTTATACGGCTTTTTTGCACCTTTTAACACATATGTAAATATGAATTCCATATGAAATAAAATGAGCAAGGCGGTGCTTAAAATAATTTGAATAAATCAACGCCAGTTTTTATAAATTGCAATTGCTATGAGTATATGAAAAAAACCCACAAAATCCTTCAACAAAAAACATATAAAAACGCAAAGCGTTGATGAAATTTTTGAATTTTTCTAAATTTGAAAGTTTGATTAATATGGTTTTTCGTAAAGCACAAGCATACAAAATTTAAAGAAAAATTTACATGTCAACATTTGTTTGAGTTACTGAATGTAATAACTGTGTGAAATTTTAAAATCACATATTCTCACTTTGAAACCTTTTGTATCCTCTAGTTTCCAAAAGCGCCTCTAATTGATCTTTGCTTATTCAGTTGGTATTTGCTTATTTCTATTTTAAAAGTTAATTTAATTGTAGTAATAACATTTTAGGTCATTCAAATTTGTAGTTTAGTAAAAAAAAAAACAGCAAAAAAAAATCCTAAAAGAGATTCGACTACTAAGGCCATTTCAATTCGATTAGAATTAAGTTAGAGTGCCGTTTCATTTCAAATATGATTTTAGTTAGTTTTGAAACCCATTTTTATTTTATTAATTACTAGGGAATATATGTACATTTGTATGTTCAACAGATTAGCACTGAACAAATATTTTATACATTTTTTTTTGTAACTTTAAGATGTCATCTCTTGAGACATGCTCCTATGCTCAACGCCGACTGTAGTCAATAAGTAAATTTCCAAAAAGATTTCCTTCATTCCGTTTTATCGCGCTGAACATGAAAATTTAAAGATATACACATTAGGGTGACTCATTAACAAAGTGAAGGTTTTTCCAAAGAAATGTAATAATGTATATAAAATTCATTATAGTTTAAAACTTCCTCCAAAAAAAGTTCCGCAGAATATTAAGATTTACGTGCGCTGGACCGATTTGAAAATATCTCAAAAAATCCCACTATTTTAATTCCGTTGATAATATATTTAAACAGTTTTATGCAGACCTCTTAAACTTAACCTTTTTTATCATATGATTTAATGTTTTGGAAAATAAATTTTTTTAAACTAATTTAAAAAAAAAACTGTATATATTTCCGAAATATTTTGGCGGAAGACTTACACCCAAATCCATAAAAAATAAAAAAGACTATAACTGGTTTATTAATCGAAGGAAACTATATATTTTTCCGAAATATTTTGGCGGAAGACTTACACCCAAATTCTTAAAAAATAAAAAAAGACTTTAACTGCTTTATAAATCGAAAGTTGTCCATGAAAATGTCATTATATAGAGCTCTTTAAATCGATTTTATATTTTATGAATATGGCCAATATATTATAATAAATTTTACAATTCCGATGGAAAACAATACCTGATATCGACTACCATTAATAAAAATAAAATGATTTTTTTTTTTCCACAAGAATATTCTGAACTCCATGTAACTATTAGCATACATATGTATGTATGTATAAAATTTTCAGCGCGAAGATTTAAACATTAACCCTATATTTCTCATACCATCCCGTAAGCGTATGTTGACCACGCTATAAAAGTTTGAAATCTACGGGAATTTTTTGTAAAAACCGCTTTGGATTGCTTAATTCATTTCGTTCAAAAGTTTGGGTTTTTGTCACATAAAATGCTACATTTGGTCACAGTGCATCATTTGATAGTTTGAATTTTACAAAATTTAATGCATAAATTACATCATCTAAGAAGTATTTTGTAATTGTAACATGAAACTGTCTTTTTTGTAAGTGTTTGGATAAACATATTTTCTTTCTTGCTAAGAATATTTCCTCACCTGAAATTCAAAAAGACGTAACAAACGATCGCTGAATGCAAAAAGTCATAACTAATAAAAATTCAAGATTTACTTTTTGGATTATATGATGGATTTCATTTCAAATATTAGCCACGACTTTTTCAATTTCAGTTGCGATGTTGTTACGTCTTTTTGCACTTCAGGTGACGATTTGTAGATCTAGCCAAAGACTTTTAGATAATTAACAGTTACGTCGCACGCAGGAGTATAATTGATGCTCCCAGTAAAATAACTTTTATAATTTAAATATTAAACAGTTACTTTTTTTGTGTTTCAGTGTTTTTTTTTTTAGCACAGAAACTTGTACATAATAGAAATGTGTTATTATTCCTTAATCAGCCCTTTTTAATAACCTTTTAAGCTTTTTACGAGTATTGCACACAAAAGGACATCAAATGGTTGCATTTGATCTTTCTTTAATAAACTTGTTTCAACTTTCACTTTCTACACAGAGAAAGTTTTTATCAAATGCTTTTCACTTTCTATTGATATTTATATATACATATATATATATATATTTCATATGTGGCAATAGAGCCAACAAAAACATGTGCACTCACAACAAATTTCATTATCGGTTATTTAACAGGAAAATTCTTTTGAAACACTTTCGATTCTGCAACAAATTATCTCAATTAGAAGTTTTCACTATAGGTGCACACAATGTAAATATTTAGCGCTTTTCCAAATTCACGATACATATGTATATATATTTATACATATGGATATGTAGTTAATTAAATGCAATTGCATTTGCGTGTATTTTGTGCAACATGTGCTTAAGTCAAGGACAGATTTGCAATAAAGTTGCTGCCTGCCATGCCATCGCTATTTATATGCACATACATGTGTTTTATATGTAATACCCATTTGTACATAAGCGCTACACAAGCATACATACATACCTACCCAATATACTCGTATGTGCATACATACATATGTATGGTTGTATGTATGAATGTGCACACATTGATGACGTCGTTGTGTGGGCAGCTTTGCGAACGCATCAGTTTCATCTTCCCAGCCGGCTCAACCACTTTCGGTTGGTTTGTTTTGCTACTAATTTTCACTGGATTTTCCGGATTTTCTTGTGCACATCATCATACACTGGATCAGTTTACTCATTTTCTTTGTGTAAACTTGTAGTTGGGTTTTTTTTGTTGTTTAAAACGATAATTTTAGCTGCGCTTTTGATACATATTAATTTCTAAAATATTCCATAATAAAATCTCGAAAATATCTAGGTATATCTGTTTGTATTTAAATACACATACATTTTTCCGAATACATTTTTTTTGTATTTTCCTTTGCAGGCGCGTATACATAAATAAGTGCAACCATTTCAAGTGGAACTCGAATGCTAAATTTCTAATGGGTCGCTGCAAATGCATCGTTGTTGCAATTTGTGTATGTAAGTATGCATGTATTTGTGTAGAGATCAAGAAAAAGAGGAAGATTTGCAAAGTCAATGTTTGAAAAAAAAGTTCATTACAAAAGAGTTTGCTCCACCAACGAACGAATTCTACTCCAATTGATCTTCACACACCATACATATGTATGTACATATGCATTAGAGCTTGGAAATATTATACAGTGCATTTCGCGTACGTATTGTTTTTTTTTATTTATTTCTTTTGATGTGATCATGAAAATTGCAACTTTGGCGATGAATGTTAGTTGTGCCACAAGCGTACAATCAACCTCATTGCCAAGCAAAGAAAACGTGTTTCGTCGGCGGCGCTTTGGGTGCGATCAAAGTGAACTGCGCTGTCGCTATCTATAACAATTTTTTCTAAAGGATTTGCTGCTAACAATGTGCTTGAGCTAGAAATAATGAAGTCAATTGTAGCTAGTGCTGTAATGTGTTTTTATTTAGGTAAACAAAAAGTGGTTGGTTAAGAAATAATAAATTTTTAATAAGTTTTAATTTTCCTAAATCAGTAAGTCGGTGTTTAAAGTTACAGGGTGGTGCGTCAGGTATTTGAGAACCTATAGACTTTGAAACTTGAATTCGTAAATTTCTTAGAAAATTGATTGTATTTCATTGACACTTTTTGAGTCAAGTAAGTGACTTTTAGGCTATACATATATGTATTTATTCAATAAAATCGCCCCCAGCGGCAATAACAGCTCAAATTCAGGGACCGTAACAGTTACAACTTTTATTAAAAAAATCACTCTTTAACAATTATTTTTTGACTTTTATGTAATTAATCCTTAAATAACAGTTTTTTTCTGATTTTTATTTTATAAATCCAAAATAACAATTATTTTTTATTTTTATCAAATAATCTGCAGTTATTTTTGATTTTTAAATTATATGTCTTAGAAAACAGTTAACGAAGACTTTTATTTATAAAAGTCATCAATATAAATCAGTCATTGACTTTTATTTTTAAAATCATACTTATAAAAGTCATTTGTATAAGTCGTAGTAAACTTTGGTTCTCCAGCACCTACTTAACTGCGAAAAATGATAATGTCTCTTATACATATGATTAAAAAATAATCGTCGGTCGCTGATTTGTATTGATGACTTTTATAAATAAATGTCTTCAATAACTGTTATCTAAGATATATAATATAAGAATCAAAAATAACTGTTATTTACAGATTATTTAGATAAAAATCAAAAATAATTATAAATAATTATAAAAACAATTATAATTGTTATTTTTTTTTTTTAATTTTGCATGAAAGTTACAAATAAAAATTTATTTTCAAATGTGATTCTCGGTGAAAAAGGAAATCGATTGGTATTTATTACCTTGTGGTAGAACATTTCCTTCATAGTGAATTTTTCAATGACAGTTTTTATCAATAACTGTTAAATATGTTCGGTCCCTCCTCAAATCCTCTGCCGGGAGCGTTTGCATGCCCGTCTTATTATGGGGATGTTTATTGGCTTGTTGGCTTGCCATTAAACAACGCTCAAGACGTAGTAATTCGAACGACTAAGATCCCAAGAGGTGGGTGGACTTCTGTGGTCATGTTCTTGAATATTCATAGTATTGTATGCATGGACAGAGTTCTGTTGGAATACGAACGGATTATCGCCACGTGCACTACCTACCCAGGGTTTGGCAACTGTTTCTAAACCTTCAAAAAATCAATTAGCATTTACCCGAAGTCCGTTGGGAAAGAAATCGGGTGCCATGACATTTTTTTTATGAAAGTATAGCATATTACATAACCAACACCATATAAATCCAAATTTCAAACTTCGTACAAAAATTATGAAAATTCAACACACTTTAACAATTACACCCAAAAATTTAAAACATTTTATTCGGTGTTTTCAGAAAAAATTTAGGTATGCTGTTTTATAGCTTATTAAATTTTAACAGGTTGACATGCAAATTTCAAGAAAAAACCGCGAACAAAACCGCATTGATTTTTAATAATTGTCGTTTGCTGACGGTACTAGGTAGAAGAAAATGCAAAACACCGTCAGCATAAAAAAAAAAATTATTAAAAATCATCGCGGTTTTCTAGCAGCTTGAAATTAGCACTTTTATCTACTAACCTTTAATGAGCTATGAAATTGCATGACTAAAAGTTTCCTAAAAATTCTGAGCAAAAATTAAAAAATTTTTGGGTGTGGTTTTTAAGTTTGTTGAATTTTTCACTTAACTTAATAAGCCTTGTGGTCGGCTCTCCTCTCTAAGCTTGACAGAAGACTTACTTTTCCGAATAAATGAGGATTTACAAGCTATTTCTCTGTGGTCGAGAAACAACAGGCTTAACCGTAAAGCATCCAAAATGCCGGAAATGGAACTGTCTTATTTTATTTACAATCTTGATTATGTTTCTTAAATAAATTTTGTTCATGCGCTTTATGGAAAAAATGCGCAACACCTTCCACAAAAAAAAATCTAAAAAATCAACGATAATTTTTAGCGACTTGAAACTTGCACTTTATTAGACCAAAACTGCGTACCCGAAAATTTTCTAAAGATTCTAATTAAAAAGTCTGAATTTTTGATGACAGTTATTTGAAGTTTGATTAACTTTTGTGAAATTTGTGCTTTTGAAACTTTTATTTATGCGGTTTCTCTTATAGTACATTGAATTATATTTTAAATGAAAATTATTAACAATAAATAAATAAACATAATTTGCACACAATATAATTTTTAAAATTTTTTACTAAATCTCTGACCATAGCTGTATCTCAAACGTAAATTTGATCACAGCTCCGAGTTTTCGACAAATATTTTTAAGTGCAGCATATCTAAATTCCCTGATAGTCGTTTGGTGGTATGTGTGTATGTATAAAAATAATCTACACCCGTTGCCCAAAGTATCACTTCTCGAAACTGACGTTTGCACAGTCAACTCGTACATGCAATCTTATTGTACCTCATTTTAAATATTCAGTTACATCAAGAAAGTTTTTCGTTAGAGCCATACAGTTGTGAAATTCTTTGCAAAGAAAATTAAATTTAGAAACTAATCCGAGGCGCTTCAAATTGTCTGTGTATGCTTTCTGCTCAACTGAAACTTTCTATCTACACAATCTAATTCAAATTTTCTTTCTTACTTTACTATTTATTTCTCGAACTGAAAGTATTTGATTTTTTCAAAAAATAGTTTAACAATTGATTATAATACATTTTTTCTTTAAGATAACCAAAATTTTGTTGTTAAGAAATTGTTATGAAATATGGCACTGTAAAAGAATATACCTTTATATTAAATTTAAATAAATAAAATAAAAATGGCAAGCACACTTTTTTCAGATACTTAAGTATTTTTTTGTAGCCAGCACTGTATAAAAAAAGCTTTAAGCTTTGCGAATTAGCCTTTTTTTTTAAAGCTTAACGGAGTGTCGCTTATTTATAAATATGTATATAAATATGTACATACATACATATTTATTCAACAAATGTCAGCCAAAATCCTGCTAAGCATATTTGTTGTTGCATGGACAAGTTTTTTTTTCACGAGATATTGGTGTAGGTGCTAATCTTCGTGCATACTAATTGGATAAGAAGCAGGATCACGGAAATATGTAGTCACTTTCACAGCGGCGATAACTTTGTCTACGAGAGCGCTATGACTTCATACTGGCTTAATACTTCTTAAATCAATATTGTTTGAATTTCTTCTAAACTTTAGGCACTGCTCGATCGAAAGTCTTTCTATTATGATTTGTCCATGCACAGTGCTTATCACAGTTATACGCCAGCCACATATTGACAAGTTTTGACTACTAATTTTTTTATTATCTAATTGTATTTTTTTAATAAAAGATATATTTTATTCATTAACAAAAACCATATAGATCCAGGTTTCAAACTTTGTGCCATATTAAAAATAAATCATCAAACTTTCATCAAAAATTCGAGCCTTTGAATTCTAAAGATTTTTATATAAAATTTTTGATCATACAAAGTTTGAAGTTGCTAGGAATTATCGTTGATTTTCGGCAATTTTTAGTTGACCGTTATATTTTAGAAATATCCATATAAATCCATAATGCTATTAGACGAAAAATAATTTTATATACATACATATTTATGCACCACTATGTGACTTTAACTAGGGCATAGATTCCTCTGTTTTTTTGTTCACTTTTTCCATGTAATTGTGTAAAAATGGGCTTTAACCGCACCC